GTGCGGCGCCGCCCAGGTGAATAGCGCGGGGAGGGGCGGGGCGGGGCTTGTGGAGGGTTAGACGTGGCCCTCGAGGGGGTGGGGCGGAACGCGAGGGAGGGGGCGGGGCTCAAGGAGGCCCCGCCCCTCCAGAGCGTTTGGGAGCGTGGCGGTTTAAGTGCCGGGGGAGGCTGCTGTGTGCCCCTGCGGGGAGGGGGCTGCGAAGGCAGCTTGTAACAGAGGTGGCTCTTGTTCCCCAGGGGGCGCCCAGGCAAGCCGAGGCAGCGGCGGGTCACCCCTCCGGCTGGGCGCTGTGGCTGGCAGGGCACGTGCCCTTGCTGAAGTTCCTCCTGTGGCTGGTGCTGCTGGGGCTGTTCCTGGAGCTGGAGCTGGGGCTGCCCTACCTGGTGGTCTCCTCGCTCTACTGGCTGTGCACCGGGACCCGCGGGCTGGGGCAACGGCGCTGCGGGGAGATGAGTGCCTACTCTGTTTTCAACCCTGGCTGCCAGGCTATCCAGGGCACCCTGACCGCGGAGCAGCTGGAGAGGGAGCTGCACTACCGCCCCTTGGCTGGGACCTAGCGCCCGCGTGTCCGTGAAGGCCTTACTCTGGGCAAGGATTTTCCTCCCTCCCAAGATGCAAAGGGTGAGGAAGAAGCCCTCGCCAACTACATGTGGAGTTGGAAGTGCCCTACGAAGCCGGGTGATCTGAAGAGGAGAGCACAGCAACTGGAACAGCAGCTGGGGGAGAAAAGGGTCCAGTTCTCTTCCAGCACACCTGCTCTCCTGAATGTGGCAGACAAGATGCTAAGCATACTGTGGAAAACCACTTGGCACTGGGAGGCACTCAAGTACACTGATGAGCTGGCTGGAGAATTTGCAGCTGTGTCCAGAGTTTTCCACAAGATACAGGAGCGGGTCCCAGACTTTGCCCCCCACTCCCTGCACCTTATTTGCATTTTGGCTCTGGGACAGGCTCCGTCAGCTGGGCAAAAGCCTGTATGAATATGTGCGTTTGGAGAGCTCGGCCCCTGTGCTCTCTGCTGCTGAATGGCTGCTTCAGGGTGGCTCTGATTCCCAGGGCCCCCAGTTCACAGCTCTGTTTTTTGAGAGTTCCTCTCTGTCTCGCTTAAGGCGAAGTTCAACCTTGCAGTCTCTGCTTTCTCTCTGAATGAGCTGGTGCCCTTCCTTAGTGCCAGTTATGAGAAGCTGGGTGGGGACACAGTGGCTCATGACCCACGAGATGCTCATGTCTTTGCTCCGTGCCCACACCACTTTTTCCTGTCTCTGCCTCTCATCTGAAAAATCCCTGCGTTATAATTTCATTCAAGCCTATCATCCCCTGCCTTTCAGCTGGAACCTGCAGTTGAAGGAGGAGAGATTCTCTTTTTTGATCCTGTGCCTTTGGTCTGGGGAGACTAGAGAGCCCTGGCTTCACATAATCCAGGCAGTTCTGTGTTGTCCCCATCATGCCCACTGCCAGCTGTACTCTGTAGCATACCATAATCACATACACAAACATGGCAGAGACCTACACTGCTGTGCCCGGCTCAGCCACTGAGGAGATTGGCTACTTGTGATGCCTACCCCAGAGGACATGTCATTGGGAGATAATGGGAAGGCCCAAACAGAGGAGCAAAGTTGAACTGCTCCTGTTGCAGTGGACAGTCCTCTCCCCTGGGTCCACCTCACAGCATGGGCTGGTGAATGCAGCCCCCAAACTTAGCATCTGTCTGGATCACCCAAACAGGCATCCCCTGCCATCAGTTCACTTGCAAAGGATGCTACAGTGTGGACGAATGTGGTCTGTGGCCTTCTGCATGTAATGTCCTTGCCCTACCCATCTGTCTGTCATATCCCTATTTCCAGTTCATACTTCACCTTATCTTTCCTTTTTGTGTTTTGTCTGTCCATGCCCCAGTCTTCCTTCAGGTGATCACCTCCCATGCCTGCATGCCATCTCTGCCCTTGTTGCTTACCATCTGTTACTTCCATTTTTCATTCCTATTTGTTATTCTGCCACGTGTCTCTTGAGTCCTTTCAGTTGAGTCAGTTCAGCTGTTCATTGAGCCTTAATCTTCCTGTTTCCCACTAGCTCTATGCAGCCAGGAAAAGGGCCTGCAGGGACCCCCCTGATGGCTTGACTATAACTGCAGGAGCAGAACACCCAAGTTCCTTTCTCCGCCAGTCAGATTTCTGCTCTTGGGGTTGTGTTACACTATCTAATAAACAATTCATGAAAAATCTTGACACAATGGTATGTTTGTCATCTCACCTTGCCTTCTCTTTGCCAGGCCCCAAGCAGCTCAGGCCTTTCTCCTGCATTCCCTTTAACCTCATGCTTGTAGGAAAGCCAGGTATTAAAACATCCTAGAAGCGCTTGAGCAATGGCTCTTCGTAGAGTGAGCCTGCCCCTAATGGAGAGGGGAATGAGTCAGTGGTGACTAAGAATGAAAGAGTACTATCTGTTCCAGGTGAAATCTCTTATTTAAAGCCTGCTAGCTTGAAATAATGGCCACTTCTCACAATGGGCTGTCTGTTCCAATTTCATGCTAAAGTAGCAGAGTCGCCACATCTATGTCTTTTTGGCCTGCAAGGCAGTGAAGAGCTATCCTTAGCAGAAGCTAGGTCAGCCCATAACCCATTGCCATTATTTTCTTATGCTTCTGATTTTCTAAGGGAAGCAGTTTATAAAAATCTGTTGTTTTAATAGCAGGGAGCCCACAGGCAGCATACTTGAGGAAGCGTACTCTGGAGTGGCATATAATAGGACCTCCTGTATTCTGGCCTAATGAGACCAAGTTCTACCTCATTTGTTTCCCTTAAATGTCTATGTTAGGCAGGGCTGTAAGATTCATCTCACCCCACATAGGTGGTCCAGGGCTTGCACCATATGTAGTGCACACGTCAGCCCTGACCCCATACGGCATGCAACGTGTGTGGCTCCAGTCTGGGGGGCCTGCACTGGACCAACTGCACAGTGGATCTGCCACGTAGGGCTGGTTTTTGTGCCCAATCCAGACTGGTCCCATGCACACTTGCTCCAACCCAGCACAGCATGCAGTGCACAGGGCTGGTCTGGGGCACGTTCTACATGAGGGGCCTGCACCAGCCCATCCCTGTGCACTGAATCCTGAATGGGCAGCCTTTCTGTGGGCCAGTTTGGACAGATCCAGAGTGCTGCCCTTTCCTGGTATCACATGCAGAGCAAAGGGCTAGGGCCAGTGTATGCTGCACGCAGCAGGCAGCACTGTGGGTCAGATGATATGGCTCCGTGGGCCATATCTTTGACACCCCTGGCATAGAGGAAAGGGAAGAGTTTGGACCTGGCTGCAGTTGTTCAGTTCCTGCAATATTTTGGCTGCAAACTAGAGGCTTACAGTTGGGGAACCAAAACTGTTGCCTTCCTGTGTGGACCTGTGCAGGGAGCATGTCCTTGAGATTAATTTTCTGGTTATAGAGAAAGTTCTCAAAACAGAGATAGAAGAATGCTGCCCTTTAGAGTCCAGACAAAACAGGCACCTGGCCGCAGCCAGGTAGCATATTATCCAGGAATAAATGCTGCTATCTTGGAAAAACCCTCCAAAATATGTGACTGCAAAATCCCTAGGGCCTGGAGTGCAATGAATAGAGACAGTTTGTAGCGTGGAGTCATTGTCTCAAGCTCTCTGAAGAAGATGAACTGAGGACATCCCTGGTTGGATTGTGCTAAATTCATACTTTCAAGATCATGTCTATGGTCACCAGAACAGAAGACATTCTTTTCATTTAATTGCATTGAGATTCTGGAGCACACTTCTAAAGCAGAGGCTCAATTTGGCAGCTTTCAAATATAGAAAGCCCTGCTCGTATTTGGCAAAATTGCATTTGTCTGTAGATGGGTCTTTAACTGACATTCTTATTTAGGAATTAGCACTTTAAATGGAGTGTATACTATCCATTGTCAAGTGCCTCAGGACTCAAACATGACTATGTGCTTACCCGGCAGTATGTACTTATCCAAACTTCATGTCAGCAATCAGTGTTCTGTTCTGTAAGTAAACAGCTTTGTCAGTGTGATGATATTAGTAGCTATGACACTCCTAGTAGCTGTGGAATGGTGTTGTATCTGTGATGGGCCAGGAAATATGTGGGAAACAAGGTTCTGGGGGATGATAACTTTTATTGGCCCAGCTGTACAGTTGGGAGAGGTTAGCAGATCTTTCCAGCACAAAATGCCAGACTTGAAGAAGGCTTCTTCAGCCTGACAAAGGGTGTTTTTACTCGATAGCTTGCAAAGAAGAATTTTTCCAATGGTTTCAGTTGGTCTAATAAAAGATATATTGGATCTACCCAGAGAACCTTGTCTGCCTATGTCCTTAGACCAACATGGCTACAACCTATACCTGAGACCTGAAGAAGGGTACATTTGTGCTGGAAAGCTTTGCTAACCTCTCCCAACTGTGTGGTTGGGCCTATAAAAGATAAACCCCTTGTTTCTCGTATACTTGTAACTGAAACTGTAGCTTCCATTATGAGAAGCTTCTACTACCCACAACACTGACAAGGCTGTGCACTTAAAAAACATTCTTTACAGCATGGTCAGTACAGTGGTGTTAGCAGCCCCTAGCCCAGTGGTTCTCAGCCTTTTTACACTCCAGACCTCCCCTGTGTAGCTTAAAACTTTAGTTGCACCCCTATTTAAAAATTACTATGGTATGTAAAAAAAAAAAACAGACTGGAAACCTATTTTAACCTGGAAAATACTTGTATGAGTAATATGGTAATAGTACAGTTAATGCAACACTTGAGCTTGGCAGAGCCCGAGTGGAGAATCACTGCTCTAGAAAGATACTATTATGGCTCCTGTCACAGTGGGATCGCACACCGCACATCATAAATGTGTTTATTCTGGAACAATATTACGAAGCATAGGGTCAGATTCCGTCTCCCTCTGAGTGCATTTGCTGACACTTAGAGATTTCAGTGTGAGGGCTAGAAGTTGGATTTTTTTTTAATGCAAAATCAGATTCCTTCTAGGAGTGGGGAGTTTGTACAAGACTTCACGTATTTTAAGATTCACAATAAAACCACAAGTTTTCCCAGCTTGGTGGAAAGTGCTCATTTTCTCTGTGTTGCCTAAAGAGGGGGCAGGCCTCTGAAATGGGGAGAGGGGAGGCTCTCTCTGTAGGACAGTTGCCTTTGCAGGGCAGTTAGGTCTGTGCCATGGGAAGAGTCTAGCTCACATGATCCAGTGTGGTGCAACATGGGCCACTAGCAGCTCCCACCAGCTGGCCCCAGTTCCTAGTCACAGACTCTCTTTGGGAAGAGTCTCCTGGAGGGCGGCCTCCTGCCTTGCCCAGGGAGTGAGGGGGCAGAAAGGACCGGCTTCCCCTGAGAGCTCCTGCCCCACTCTTACCTTCAGTCACAGCTGTAGCCAGCTACCAGAAAGGAGAAGTGAGCCTCTGTCTACAGAGTTGCATTGGTTTATGCTGCAGCCACTTTCCGATCTAGCCCCCCACTAGAAAAGAGAAGCATGGTGAGGCAGTTCAGCCTAGGAGTGGGGGGCAGTGTGACACCCGTGAAAAGGTCATACTGCATCCCAGTTGAGCGTAATTGCCATAAAGACTGGTTGCAGACATTAAAAAAAACCCCAAAAACCTGTGCTTTACCAGAAAAAGCAGCATGTTACTTCAACCTGGCTCTGCAGTGTCTGTATAGATCAGGCATTTCAACAAGGCTTTTTGGCGCTTTTATCTAAACTGATTCAAACAGCTATTACATAAAAGTGCCAAAAAACCTCCACTTTGTGCTTGATCTATACAGATGTTGGGCAACCTGGATTCAACTAAAGCACTGACTCTTCTGGGCATGCACTGCACTTGGCGTGGGAGTGCACGGAGTTTAAAGTAAAGCACCTGTTTGGCTTTTTTTTGCTTTTTTTTTTTTTAAACATCTGCAAGTAGTCAAAGCAACTAGTTCATTTTGGTTTTAAGGTTTTAATACTCACTGCTGAGGCTGGAAATGAGGTGAGAGCAGCTGTGGATCTGACTAATTCCCCTCATGTTCAAGGCTTCTAGTAGTGGTTCTTTGATAGTTACTTCCCCTTCGCTGTTTCTGGGGTAGGTGAAGACAGGTGAATACAGTGAATTACAAGAGAGACAGTGGGAATGTCTACATGAAACATTTACTGTGGAGCTGCCTAATTAGCTCTGCCATAAATGTCACGGCATCTACAGGTACAGAGCTATGATACTGGAGTAAACTAATAAACTCTACAGCAGGGTACTACTTGTAAATACAAGTAGTACCCTGCTGTGAAGTTTACTCTGCAGCATCGCATGTGTAGATGCTGACACAGCTGGCTGGGCCATGAGGGTGCTTCAGAGTGGTGGGGGGGTTGCCTGGCAGCTAGCTCCACACTGAAGCACCCTCATGTCCCAGCCAGCCCCTCTGCAGCACGGTGAGCTGGGGGGTAGCCCCAGACTGGCAGAGTGACCCTTGGGAAACTCTGCCAGCCAGGCCTGCTCCAACCTGGCTCAACCTGCTGCACTCCCAGGCACAATAAACTCCAGAGTTTATTGCTTCACATTAATTGCATGTGTAGACATGCCCAGTTATTGTTAGTTTGCAACTAATTGGAGTATAATTAGGTTTCAGAGTAGGCTGTGCACTTAAGTTGTTTATGCATGTAACAGGTATGCAGATAGATATGCAATATCTAGCTAAAGATATAACAGGTATTCAGATATGCAATAGGCCACAAAATGGAAGTGGCCATTGTGCTGCACATTTAAGTGAAGTACGCATTTACCTGATTTGCATGTAAGTGGAGTACATTATGTTTGCATTGGGGAGAGGATGGGGGATGTTAGAATAACTAATATCTTGCTGTAACTGGAAAATCGTTAACTTCTAGATGAGCCTGAACAATGCAGATTAAGGAGTATACCTTTTAGTAGAAGAGTCGCAGCATACCGAGCTTCACGTTGCCTCCCACCCAAATATACATCTCCTTTTTTAACACTGCATACAGACAGCAGTAACAGCCCATTCTGTATTCAGCTGGTGAAGAGCTTTATAATCTTTACAATCTATGGTTTGATTCTCCATCTCCTTCATTAATTCTTGGGTTGGATTCTCACGATTTTATTATGACAAATCACATTCAAGCAAGAGTGACTTTG